TAAGCCATTTCCAACACCAAACAAGGCGCTTCTCACATGCACTGATTAAGGCATTGAAGAGCACCACATCCTCCTGTAGCATCCGTTTCCGAAGCAGGTCCAAGAGGACCAAAGCTTGAGTCCATTGACCACTCTTTTCGCAGGCACTGACTAATGTGCCATACATCACAACATCCTCTGCCAACTCTTGTTCCCAAAGCTCTTGAAGCACTTGAAATGCCTGATCATGACAAAAAGTGAACATCTTGTGAAAACGCCCGCAGGGTTCAAGAAATTCAAGAACCCAATGTGCCTCTTGCCAGCGTCCGGCTTTCTCACAAGCACTGGCAGCAGATCCAAAACTGACAGTGGTAGCTAAACGAATTGAGATCACCTCGCGCAGCAAGAAGAGCGCCAGTTGCCACTGAGTTGAGCATGCGCTCATGGCTGCGTTGTAAGACACTGCCTCTCGTGGCACAAACAAGTCAAGCAGTGAACTGGCAGAAGGTGTTCCCTGTTGAGAGAATGAAAACAAGTGCAGTTGCGTGTGGCCCGTGTAGCAGTGAAATTGGTTAGTACTAGTAAAGTTCTTGAAGTCAAATATATATATATATACAGTAAAGGGTCAAAGGTTCTCCGTCTCAAATGAGAATGCCTGCAAAAGCAAGCAACCCTGCAAAAACACAAAGGCTCACAGATTGCGCATGATTTTCCTAAAACCACAAGACAGGAAAGTCCCGCCAGGCTGATTACCATTCTAGCGGTTGCAGCGTTTTCTGAGAAAGAACGTTTTGTAAACAATATACTGTATATATATATATATGTAGGCCAGGCAGTTTCAGATGTCGGCAAGCTGATTCTTTAAACACTTTTTATTGCATTTCTGCCAAACACGTCAGGTGTCGTCATGTTTTGTTCATGTTCAAAAAAAAGGATTTTGTCTACCGGTTCCGGACAAAGAACATCAATAAATGTATTGGTCTACAGTCTACACTTAAAGGATATATCATGATTTATCCACCAAAGAACGAACACGATTTGAGCACCCTGACGGACCAGGACCGACAGCACAGCCGTAGCAGTAACGCACAATGACAAAGCCGTGAGTTATCATACTGCGGAGAAAGAAAGGTCATTACCCCTTACCCCCGCACCCGACCCACCCACCCCAACCCAACCCCGTTGTGTCAACATGTCATAACTACACCTCTTCGTGTAAAAATATGTTTTTTCATTCAAGAAAATAACATATTAAAATTGCATAAGTACATGCGCGGTGTGGAGCCCACTAGCAAAAACATGGGCCGTTGGTTTGGTGGCAGCTCCATTTTTTTGACATCCCCATGATCCCAGCATGAATCCTCTGGCCTCTGCTGGGAAGCGTTGACGAAGGTCTGCAAAGACTGCAAGGGCATGACGCCAGCTGGCAGCACAGGCACTGATGGCAGAATTGCAAACAACCTCCATTGGAGGCCGAAAAAGATTGTTCCCAAATTGCTAGGAAGTACAGTACATCTATCATGATCAAATGATCAAAAGAACTTGCGGAGCATTCTGTCCCTTCTGTCATCTTCTGTCTCTAACTTGGGGGGTGACTCCCTTGGACAGTGGTACAAGCACTAGTAGTGGGAGGAAGTGGGAGTAGTGTCTCTGGCACATCTGCTTTTCAACCTCGGCCCGATTGACCGGCGCCATGACCTCACCGGCGCCATGACATCTTCTTTCCCAAAAGACCGGATGTGCCTTGGGTATGGGGTCGATATGGGGTCGATATGGGTCGATGGTCCTTTAAAACGATCAGAACACGACGGTTTGCACTAGGGATTTCGGGTCTCAGTCGCCACATCTGCTCGAAGGCTTCGTTCTTGAAGGTCTTCCAGGAGTAGCAGTGCTGTGTCCCATGCTTTCCTTCAGAAAGACCGAGCAAATCAGCAGTCCAATGAAGAAATGACCGCACCCATGGCAAGCAATTATTTAAGGTAATTGTCATATGTTGCTTAAGTCTAGAGTCGCTGAAGCACATGAATGATATTCTCGAAGCATACCATGTCAGATTACCATCATGCGGACTGGAGGTCCGACCAACGGTCCAGGCCAAGAGTCCCTTGCCCACATGCAGCGATGGTCAAAGTGTAGGTCACCAGGTCAGCCTCGATCGTTTGTGCATTGAGGATCTCTTGGAAAGCAATGTGGAGAGCCACCTGTGATACAAAGGACGATGGGGCGGAAGGGGTCATTCCCGGTTGCACATGTTGAAGAGCATATTCTGTGGATGAGGCGCATGTCCACTTCACTGCCGGAGATGTCTTGTTCAAGCTGGCGTGTGATGTCCGCTTCTCTTTTGAAGATTGATTTTGATGGAGTCACTTGTTTCCTCGCTATACTCTCTTTCTTCTTCTTTCCCTTCGCAAGCATAGACAACTGATATAACTATTTTCCATGGCTCAGTTTGAAGCCAGGCACCTTGCAAAAGTCCACCCTTTCGGCATCCAAGGGACCAGTGTGTTTTCAGAATTGTGGCTTTTCTTGCTCTCTACAGCCACTCTAAGCCCCTCTAAGCTGGCCGAGCACATGTTCTGATGGAACTATGTGGAACTCACGATGTTCTAAGCAGGTCCGGAGCCCACGAGCCCGCCCACACCCGCGACCTGCCATTGATCACCCTCACAGGCTTTCAGGACAGAGTTGTAGACGATCGTATTTGCTCTGATCCTTTGCTCGTGCATCTCCTCCAGTAAGACCAATGCCTCACTAACTCTGAGCATCTCAGTGGACAAGAACATGAAAGAACAACGCTTGTGGAACTGTACTCTTGATCAGTGCTATCTTCCCAATTGAGCAGTGTTTGGGCAAGGTTTGCACTGTGAGGATGTGTACGCGAGTGTCTACCCGATGTTGAAGACGAAAGGCCGAAAGACCTGAGAGGCCAGAGTTGGCTTTAGAGTCTCAATGTCCGAAGGTGCACAGGTCGATGGTTCTTTGTCACTTTCTGTTCCATATCTGCGCACAAGTTCGCTGCGAAATGGCTCCAATTGACGGAGATCCAGCACATCTACGCGAGTCCTACACGAGGCTTAACTTCAGATGTTTGGACCACTACACACATACTAGTATCGAAAAGTGATAGTGAACGTATATCCGCCGACCCCGGTGCAACCAATAAATACTAAAGAGAGGTTGACCCATGGTGAGTTTAATACAGCACAATACAGCTATATATATATATACCACCTGTGCCATTGCAACTTGCAAGACAAACTTCCGTGTATGTCGTCTCCAGGAAAGCAGTTGCCAATGAACTGCTTCCTCATGTGTCTCAACTACCCCGCACACCCACCAAGTCAAACGGAGGGAACTCCGATGATTAATCCAATGAATTTGGAATATGTTGAATTGAAGGACATTGTCACATTGTGCCAACGTTAAGTCGCAAAACATAAATACGCAATCCTGCCTACGCGAAAACATGTGTGCCTACGCCAATGCCTGCGGAACCCTGCGCCCCCAAAGCAGAACAGCCTTCGCAACATCGAAAGCGGATACATTTTTGTATATGACAAGATATATATATATATATACATACCATTAATATCGGTCCACATATCGGTCCACTAAGTGTAAACTCCTCCGTAGACCAAGAACAAAAAGCTACTCAATTGAGCTGAAGCTCGGCTTGCCATTGCTGTATACATGCACTGATGGCTGCACCATAAGCAATGACATCAAGCTGCACATCTGCATTTCTCGAAAGGAAAAGTGCCTGCTGCCACTTCCTCGAACATTTAAATCGCACCAAACCACTCAAGGCCAAGACCCAATCTCTTCAATCAAGAATCAAGGCTGTTAAATGTGTCAAGCAAATAACCCTGCAAAAAGAACACACATGTTCATGTTCATGGAAAAACGGTCCGTTGTTTCTTCGAGGGAATCAACCGCCTTTCTCGCAAAATCCTTCAAAAACTCGTGCATTGTGTATGTTGTGTGGCACAAATGAAAATTCCTGCGGGCAACGCTTGCCAAGGCACCCAGCTCGATGACAAGCACTGATGGCAGCGCCTGCCACAATACACACGGAGGATGACGGAGGGACATTACATTATGGCTGGTGCCTGACTTAAAACCATAGAAAATAAAGACCCAAAGCTACAGGCTCATGCAACTTATATACAGGATTGTGATTGATTGTGTTAGTATTGGGATGTATTGGGTGTTTAAATCACCTGGGCAGCCTTTTTGCATCTTTTTGCAAGTCGAAAACCTTCCAGAAAGGATATGAAAGGATCATTGAGGTTGAGCAGCTGTTCAGCCAAAGGCACTGTAGGTGATGACATTTGGCTGAAGCTGTTTAGATCTCACTTGAGTCAAAAGCTGCAATGACTCCTGCCACCGATGAGCGCGACCACAAACGTTGATGGCTGAATTGTAAGTGACGACATCCGCCTTCAAGGTATCCGCTTCAAGTTCCTGGCTCTGTCTTTTCAGATAACAGCATCGTAAAATTCCAAAGCTGCAAAACACTCCATACCTCTGGCTGCAAGACGGCATTCACACCAGGATGGCTAGATGTTCACCCAAAGATTCCATCTTTGTTTCATGACTGGAGACGAGCGGCAACCAAGAAAGACAAAGCTTTCAGCCATTGAACCCCGCATGCGGCAATGGCACGGTTTAAATCTGAGATGCCGTGCACACGAAGCTCGCCCATGGCATTGCCCCGTGAGCTGATAGGCTGATGTGTCGGCCATTTGACATCCACATTGGCAACACTGAAGAAGAAAGCGCCATTTCTGCCAAGACTACCAAGGGTTGGCAGGTCTCTCATCTCCGGAGTTCGCCATGGGGGCGAACATATTGGGGGCCAATATGTTATGAATAATGAGCTGGCTTTGTCATGGTTTGTCTGATTGTCTCAAAGACGGAGGACAATGCGTGGGATGGTTGATATTTGGTTCAGCGCTTCCGACTGCCGTTGGTCGTCGGCAGCAGACAGCTCCGAACGCTCCGCTCCGTGAGCGACGCGCCTCATCCGCTCCGTGACGAAGTAGGCAGTTGTGCTGGATGTCTGAGCGTCAACGGAATCCAAGTCAAAGGCCTTTTGGTGGGTTAAATGGGGTGTACTTTTCATTTGGGGGGGCACCGCCGGGCAACACTAACCAATGGGGTTCTGGTCTATTCTGATTCTTCCAGTTATATTGTTCTTCTTGAAAAAAAACGATGCGTGCTAGGCCAAAAGGATCGAAAAGCCATCAATATCTCAGGTATGGGGTCACCGATCGAATGAATCGAAAACTGGTTCCCTTGGATCCAGATTTGACCACTTCCCTCGAACCCTCGCCGCACGAACTTCCCGTCCTGTCTCAGCTCTGCTAGTTCGGGATATTAGAGAGCCTAAAATGCTTGGATCCCAACTGAAAGGATGCATGTAGAAGTCCAAGATCTCGCGGAATCTCCTCCGACAGTGCAAAGGGCATCCGGTGCGAATGACGCACGTCGAATGAATTCGAAGGTTCTTGATTGAAGAAAAATTGTGCGCACAAAACACCAAGTGGCATAATGGCATAGCCCCGTGGAGACATCAGGCAGTTCTTGGTGTATCTTAGTAAAGCGATCAAGCAACATTGTCGGAATAGGTCACTTCACCCTGTGGAAGGTCGATCAACTGGATGTTCTGAGCAGGTCCTCCTTACACGTTGTTTGTCGGACCTTGGACGCAAAGACCGAGATTGGAAGCCCCGAACAGCGTCTATATACTTCAGTGAGCATGATTTGGTTCCCGCTGTGGAATTGAACGTGACCAACAAATCCGAAGCATGCTCCGGCTGTGATGGGCATCCGGCAATTGCGAGCTGAAAGTCGAAGTCCTCCTCCACCGGCCTTTCCGCACACACCATCTGTCCAACATCCTTTCGAGACCGGAAAAGAATTGCAATTCCATGCTTTCGATGTTCGCGGATGTTCGCGGATGTTAGTGGCCTAGCGTTCTCCTCGCTTGGCCGCAACACGGCACAAACGAACAGATCCGCTCCCAAACATGGACCACAAACGAACCTATCAGCCCATGAGCAATTCGATTGGCAATTTGGTCACTCTGCATTTGCCAGAAGCAGCACATCAGAGCATTGGAACCATGAATGGATCAACACGTGGGTGTGTCTTAAATATGGCTGGAAGAAGTAAAATAGATGAACATAGTTTTGTTAAATAGACCAAAACCCCGTAATGTTGGTCTCCTTAATACAAACCCACAGGTGAGGCTTCTTCCAAGAGTGCCACTCTGCAATGCCAATGGCGACCATGCGATGGCCTCTTCGTTCAGCAACGAGATGGATCAACCTGCCACTGGGGTAAAAGCTCTTGGTCGAATTCGAGTCTATGGAGAAACCTCTGATGGTCTGTGAAAAATTGATCGACATTGATTTTAAAAAAGAAGTGCGCATAATACAACTCATTTTTGCTCACGGATATCGTGCTGCTGCATAGCATAGGGCATGTACATGCAGGTCTGCTGTGTTGTACTTGCAGGGGGAGCGGGCGTACTGTATCTCTTGGAAACAAATTCTCAAGTACTATATAAGTAAAGCCGAGTCGGACTCATTATAGGCATTTTATTCTGCAAGACGTAGCTATTGGACGCTATTGGTCACGTCGTCACATCTTTGGAAGATTTCCGGGGGCTGTCGTAACGTCGGACACGTCGCAGCTCTTTGGGTGGGAAGGCCTGAAGAAAACAGTGTCAGCCGGTGGCCTCTCTTTGTTCGCTGGCACTTCCTGAATTTTGGGCAGCATTGACCTGAGAAATGCCCGATTAAACAAGCCTCAAAAATCTCCACACATGTCCAAATCAGCTTCTCCAAGGTGGAAGCCAAGCAAACCATCTGAAGAGGGGAGAAAGATTTCAAGAGGGTGACAAGGTGTTCTCCCTTTTCTATTTCAATGGAAAACGACCAGGTTCTGGGGCAACGACAGGTTGTACTTGTGCCACTCTTGCACGTGCCTCGGAGAACGGCGAGAACGGCAAAGCAGCACAGCGCAGCGCAGCGCAGCGCACGCTTCACATCGACACCGTGGACACGAGGGCTTCCGGCACGGTCAAAGTCTTGGGATCCACCAAGAGCTCCTGGATCGAAGGACGGAGCGGCGTGTCGTTCCGCAAAAAAGAAAAAAAATTACGTTGAGTTGTTCCTGCCAAGCCCCTGGATCGAATGGTTCCAATATGTTCCAATGGTGTACAGTACAGAAGCCACAGTGTGTTGTTGATATTTCACCTAAGTCAACAGTAACAGCTTTGAACACTGGTCCTTCGACGAGCTGAGAGCCTCTAGCCTCAGAGGGGGGCATTCTGAGAAGTTTGGGGCCTGGTCAACCTGGTCATAAAAATGTGGTCCAATTTGGACACCCCAGTTCCTTTTCCTTGACCTCTTCAGACCAAGAAGCGCTTGCTGCGGCGAGAAGCGCACTCCGCCCAAAAGCCGCTGGCCCTCGGACCATCCAAAGGTCATGGCCATCACAAATTTAGTACCAATTCCCAGTTCATGGTGAATTAATCAGGTCTGATACAATTGACTAGATCTGTGAGATCTGTGAGCCCAATTTGTAGCATGTCCACATTTAATGTCGAGGAAAGCTGAAACAAAGACAAATCGAAAAACATGGCTTCAAGCAAGCTGTTCCTAGTAAAGCCATCATGAGATCTACTCACATACTCTGACTTCTGAGGCCCCTTGTCCCAACAAGCAAAACTGTTGTTCCTTTCTATCGGAAGAGAAAAGTCGTGTTACTCGTCTTTCGATCCAGCAAGTTGCAAAGTAGCGCAAGAGCGAGGACAATGGAACAGAGCCTGGAACAGAGCTAGACAGGTCGAGACAGGTCGATCCAAATCGGTGGGTCAGATGGGTCAGGTTTGTCACAAGACAGCATTGAGTGGAAGAGCAATCCCACCAGTGGAGGTCCATATGGTTCCATTATGTTCCATCAAAATGAGTTGAACCTTGAGTTATCAACACGGTATTTCCTCATTAATTACATACATGCCTTTAAGATCCTTTAAGTACACTTTCTGCTGTCAGAATACCAACTCCAACAGACTCCCCATCATTCCACGCTGCTGCACGATTCTTCTTCAGTCATCACTTGTGCGTGGCGTCTTCGATCACCAAATGGCTCGAATATCTGAAGATATCTGAAGTATCCCACAATTTGTGCCTGAAAATTTGACTGCCAATGTATGGATCAAATCAAAAACCACCTGCTTGATACATTGATACCACTTAAGGCTATACCACTTACCTTGTCTTTGTACTAGTAACAAGAAGCCATTAGAAACAAGTGCATCGCTTCTAGTAACAAGTGCCTTACTAGTAGTAACAAGGTTCGCTATTAGAAACAACATTCTGTTGTAGCTCCCGTCCCGCCGAGCCGCACCTGTTTCGGAGAGCTGTGCATGTAGGCGCCCGGTCTCCGGATGCCTGAAGAGCCGCTCCAGGCCTTGCCGCTCCAGGTCTTTCGTTGGAACGAGGCAGTATAATGATCTTGATTCTGGGAGCCATAAATGATCTCGTCTTCTTCCTATTGTTATTCTTTTGGACCAAATTTGTTCCCCTGTCTTGTGATTGTTTTGTACATGTAAATCCCGCTTGGCCCCTGTTTGCGCTCAAGGCAAGAGAAGCCATGGATTTTCATCGATCGCAGGTCCATGCGATCGCCCATGGCACATGATGACATGGGTATGGAATGGCCATGGCTCCCCAAGTGGGAGACCCACAACACCTGGACCTAATTACTGGAAAAACTGGATAAACAACGACTCAAACCTGCATGGGGCCAACATGTCCTGAACAAACAGCCGATGCGAGGATCTCAAACTCAGGAATCAAAGATGGCGTGTGGATTGTTTCTTTCAAGTACGGAAGTGTTGAACGCGAATCTACCCTCAGTCATACTTTTGGCCTTGCGAATCTCATAGAGAGATCGTGCTTAGTGCTAAACCTGATGAGATGATGAACGATGAACAATCAAAAGGAAGGAAAATCATAAAATCTCTGAGGTTTTGCGCATCGAGTCCTGATGCGTCGCAGGTCTCCATTTCTGCTGCTTTTAGATATTTGAAAGCCAATCAGTTCTGAGGCGTTTGGCCCAAACGGAGGCGATCGGCGGCGGGCCGCAGGGTCAATCCTCTGGCCTCAGGAAGAGGTCGGATTGCAAAGAACCGTTTTGAAGAAGTTTGGTGAACATTGAAAGTAGAAAAAATGCAAAGCAAGCAACTTCAGGGGGATGAAATGCGGCTGAACAGCAGCGGGAGCCTTTTTTCGAAGAACCCTGAGTGGAGAATCGTCTCAGCCCTCCCTTATCCTTCTCCACTACGAACATGGACTTGTTGCTGGTTGCAAAACATGTGTTCACCCCACCTGACCATTCCCAGGCAAAGTGAGAAAGATGAAGCTATTAGAAACAATAAGCTACTAGGAACAAGTGCATCGCTAGTAGTAACAAGTGCCTTACTAGCAGTAACAAGAAGCCATTAGAAACAATAAGCTACTAGGAACAAGTGCATCGCTAGTAGTAAC